GCCAATCAAGATAAAATATATTAATATCAGAAGAAAATAAATTTGAATCTTCTTCATTTGTTGTATTAATAATATATCGTAAATGTAATCGTCCACCTCGATTATTTATTATTCGAACAAACCATACTGTCCATGGACGATTTATATCTTGTAATTCAAGTAACATACCACATTTTAATTGTTCTACTGGATTAAGACCAATATTCTAAATATAGAAAACAAGGTTATAAATTTTGAATTTATTTCAAATAGATTTATTTGTATTTAGTATCTTATACAACATGAAGGCAGTTACCCACCGAAGATCCGATTTGTTCTCTCAGAATTTTGAATTCTTTCTCTGGAATAGTATCTTGCAACCCGGTCGGATACTCAGCACTCGATTCGATAAAAACATAGAAATGAAAGTTAATTCCATTATACTAGAGAAAGTTATTATACTTGAGAACAAGTGATAGAAGTGAATATGCGACATTGAAAAAAAGCATTTCTGTATATATTCACAATTATGATGTTTGATATCGACACTAAGCTCTACTTCGCCATCATCAGCAACAAGCAAACCTATAGTTAGCGGAATTGGTCAAATGTTCGAAGCAGAAAGACATCAGATAAATCCTGAATCACTTGCTTTTCTTTTGTAGAATTCAAGATAATCTCTTTTCTTTGTTACTGTTCGTGAAAGAAACTAAACAGGATACTTTTTCATGTAAAATAAAGGTTTGAAAACGATACTATGGCTGTGAAAGCATCTGCCGGATGTCGATTAGCTGCGATTCCAGTTCGGATGAAAAAATCTGTATACGTGCAGGACCCTACTCCGGAAAAGAAAATCTTGATAAAAGACTCACTGTATTTTTTTTTCTACAATAGCTTGTGACTCAAGTCTTCGTAATGACTATGCAAGGTAATTTGACATTATCAATATGATAATAGAGTTTTGGAAAGGCTTCTGTTTTTACTTTGATTGTGTCCTATAAAATCTAAGTTAAGCTGGTATTGAATGTTTCCTATAGATTAGTTTTCTCATTAATAGCTTCATTATTTATTTTAATATTACATAGAGAAGATTAAGATAATAAGCGGCTTTATGATCTATGAAATTCTTTCAATTAATCTGAGAATTAACTTTTGATATTCTCTTCTTATAATTAATGTAAAATTAATTATTTATGCGATAGTTATCAAATAGTATCATAATGGCAATTGATAGGAGCTATTCATTGTCTGTCTATTCGAGCTTGACAACAAATCCAATTCTTAGAAAATAAATAAATGAATTTTAATCAATATATACAAAGACTAATACTTTAATTATTTCGAACCAAATCATAAATTGAACGACAACTGATTGCATACGAAAAAAACAAGGATATACTGATCTAAACCTCATATTTTAAGACCTAATACCTCTGTCGGAAGCCTCATTTCATCAAAAACTTTGAATTCAACGCGCTTGGATGTCCGTTAATGTCTAACACGTTTTACCGAATTTATTATGTTTTCTCACATTTTATTTTCTTTATCGTTTTAATGAGAAAGAAGTTTGGGTCATTAGATCAAACTTTGTTTTGCGTTTTTCTTGTTCCAATGTCAAAAATTTCTCGCTTGTTTTTCATGCTAGACAGTTCAGAAAAGCTTTGAATTGATGAGAAATTTGTCCTTATGACTTAACCTAACCAAAATTTTCATTTTGGCCTTAGTTTGTAAAAAAAATGAACATTTTTTCATAGAATTAGTCTGAGTTTTTTGAACTTTTTTTAAGAGAAAATTTCATCAGAAGTAAAGAAACAATATTTTGACGTATTGGATTCTGTTAAGTTATAGTAACACGCTTTGGTTGCATTTAAAAACTAGCGCAAAATTGCATCATTAGATTTTGAGAAAAAATTCTTGTCATACAAAGAACTACTTTTTGACCCTTAATCTTATGATAACTTAATACTTTTAACCGCAATTTTCAGTTCCATCCGTTGTTCAGGGCCTAAAATAGGTTTCTGACAGATGACCCGTAGACCTTGAATGAAATGGTTCTTTTGACCCTCAGGCGCTATTTTCATTTTATTACATAAAGAACGTTTTGTAGGTCGAGTCAAAATCACATGTAAATGAATAAGAGGAACTTGATTTTTCTTATTTGATTGACATTAGACATAAATGAATCGAAGATCGTTATCATGACGTTTTCAACTATGGAAACATCCAGTGTTTTATCTAGAGGGGTGCCCGGGGAGGCGGCGCCCCCCCCCCCCCCCCCGAGACTCGCGATCATCGTGCGACGAACTATATGGCTTGCTCTCCCGAAAAAAATTTTTCGCCCTCCCGAAATTTCAAATCGCCCCTCCGGAGAAAAAACCGGGGTAAAACACTGGAAACGTCGTTATGACTTGTGACATATGAAAATATTCATAATTTAAAAGATATTTCACTAAGAGATTATAATACCAGTACAAAGTTAAAGTAATGTATGATGTAAAAGTAATAGTACAAAATGTCGATAGCTATTTTTCTTCGATAAACGGATCTTGAAAGAAAATTTTGTTTACCAAAAGATAGAACTTTCTCCCTCCCCTTTGGAATTATATATAACTTATTTTTTTTGTAAAACGTTTGTAAAAAAAAACTACGCAATAGAAAAGAGAAACATACTTTAAAAGAATCTGCACTTTTTATATTAAGAACTGCACAATATATCGATTCTTACATATCTTCGATAAATAGGTTCTGAAAAGAATACTTCTTTATTATTTGATAAAAAAATTTCCTCTTTTTCACACAGTGTATGATTCATGTTTTTGTCACACAGGTTGACAAGTGAGACGTGACGAGATATAGTCGCGCAATGAATCTGTAATTTTTATATGAACTTGTCAAAAGCATTTTGTAAAGACAACAATTAATTCAATTTTTATGGACTCATTAAAGAAAAAAAAACAGAGCCTGTAAAACAGTGATTACTTTAAATTTTATAACATTTTCAAAAAACATCGTATAAAATGACAGTTAATAATACCTAATTGTTATCTATAAGATGTTTTTGAGAAATTCTTGTACAAATTACAAATTTATTCCGTAAGTATTTCTCGTTTTTTTCTCTTCGCGTTTGACAAACATGAATCATACATTGTTCAAAAAAAGAAGAAAATTTCCTATGAACTTATAGAAAATTATTTCTTTCAGAATCTATTTATCAAAGGAAAACAGCAATTGACATTTTGCGCTCTTATTTTTGAATCATACGTTATTATGAAAGAGACTAGAACTCGAACACAAATAGGTAAATATCTTCACATATATCGAAACATCAATCTCCTCATATTAACAATGAGAGAAATTTTTATTTCATATGTTCTACAATCAATATCACGATCGAATTTTTTAACGGAAACGTATTAACGTATGAAAAACAATGTTACAGATCTTGTCGGACCTATAAAAAAGTGTTCGTTGGTTATAATCTTAATTGAATCTTATCCCCAAAAAGATACAATTCATTTAAAATTTAATAATCAAAAAAAAAAAGATTTACTTTATCAAATAAATAATCGGGTGGTGTTTGTAATTCTTCATTTTCTCCTTTAATATTTCCATTAGTAATTGTATTTGTTGTTGTTTGTTGAATAGCTCGTTTAGTAACAATTGGTGGTGGTAACATTAATTTACTATTTTCTTTACACCATCCAATTGGATGACAACGTTGTCCATAAATATAAGCCCAAAAATCATTTGATGTATCATCTTCTGGTATTCCAATATAATGTAAAAGAACTAAACTATGAGAAACTAATTGTATTTGTGTTAACCAATATAAATCATGTTGTGTATCATAACAATATTCAAGTTTCATATGTATTTCAAAAGCTGAATTAATTGATGTTAAATAATGATCGAAAAATTCATCGGAAACTGATCGTTCATTAATAATTGAAAAATATTTTGACCAAAGAAAATTTGATAATGATAAAGGAGAAGAATTTAAACATGGTTGAATTTCATGAATAATTATTCGAGATGTTGATGAACTAGAAATAAAATATTTATTTAATAAAAACAAATAAAAGATGTTTGTTTGTTTTTTTTGTTTTGTAAAAATGTTTTACTTGATTTTTTTTATGGAATTATAAAAATCAAGTTTTGATTTATTTATATTTGAATTATCTGACATTAAATTTTCGTTTATTGGAATATTTTGATATTGATCAGTCAATGAATGTTCAATATTGAAATCATTTTTCATTTCAACTATTCGAATATCATCATTATCAATTGTATCTGTATAAATACATGAAGAATTATTTGTCCAATCGTCAATAATAATATTTGAATAATTTGTATTTATTGTTGTTGTTGTTGTTGTTGTTGTTCGTTGACTAAGATCAAGAATAGATGAATTTGAATGAGATATATCACAATTTGAATTCATATTATTTGTCGAATTCATAATTTTATTGGATTATGGTTATTTCTTTTTTGTTAATTGTACATAATTATCATCTTAAAAATAAGAGAATAAAAAAATAAAAGTAGTTTATTATTTTCTTTTCGTTAAAAATACTCAAGGTCACTATAAATTAGAGAGAAATAATGAAAATCTTATTTAGATCTATATAATAAAATATTTAGTTATATTGAGAATAAATAATACGAAGTAAAAAAATATCTTTCCCTAGACAAGAAACTTTGGATGGTAACAAGGAGAGAGACAGAGAGCGAGAGAGCGAGAAGGAGAGACATAAGAACACAAGAAGAGAAGAACAAGAACGAAAAAAAATACCTTTATCATTCTCAATATTATTGTTGACTATTTTATTAACCATTCAGAATTCATTTATGATCCTTTATTACAATTCATAATTAGAACAGATGGCGTTGATCAATAAAAAACAAAAAAAAAAATTTTTCTATTTTAAAAAATTCTTGATAAGAAATATGCATATTATGATTGAATTTTTCTATTAGTCAATGAATTTTATTCACAAAAATTTATTTTTATGTGAATATTAAACAGGTACAACACGATTCATTTCGAAAACAGTTTTTGATAAATGTTTTCTTCGTTTCTTTGAAGAATGAGCTTTTTTTTTTGAAGTTGAGTACTTTAACCATAAGATCAAAATAATCAATACAATTAAAACAACAGGAATGACAGTAGCCAATATGATAATTAAAGTTTTATTATTAGGAGCAGTTATGTTATCATCATTTGTAGTCGTGTGTATCTAAAAATAACAAGAAATTAAGAAAAAAAAAACTTAATTAAATTGTATTCTATCTTCAACTATGTATCATCCTAAAGTTTCTTTTTCAAATTACAATGAAGTTTGCTGTACTCATCTCAGATCATACAAGATCTTTCAATATTATTGTTATATATTCTATATTACCGTTGATGAATCAATATTCGTGCTTGTCAATGTTGTAGTACTAACAAAAGAAAATTATTGAAGAAAAGAAACAATATTTCAAAAATTCTAACTTGATTGAACCATCAGTTATCGGTAATATAGTTGTAGTACTGTCCTATGAATAAATATTATCTCTCAATGTTCATTTTTACGATATATACTTACTGTTAGTGCTGTAGTAGATGTTGTTGTTTGTTTTGTAGTTATAAAAATACTATGAAAACAATAACAGAAAGAAAAAAAGATTTGAAATTAAACAGTTTGATGATAGATCATTGAGACAATAAACTCAAACCTGCTTGAAATATCTGATGTTTTTATCGTTATTAAATCGCTAGTAACCGGTGTATCATCTAGATGAAAGTTAAAACTAATGTATCTTATATATTCTGATTTGCATACCACAACTGCCTTGATGAATTGAGATTTCATCAAATCCAATATTAGATTCTTGAACTCCAGATGTTCTTTGTACTTCAAAATATATCTGAAAATGAATCGTTAAATAAAATAGTTATTAGAATCTATATGCTCAAAAATGTCACACATTATAACCAGTTGCTTCAACATTGAAAGATATTTTACGTTTTATCCATCCATTGTACGGACTTCTTGTAACAGAATCAATAGTTTCCATTATACCATTTGTTTCCTCTTTATTTATAGTGATAATCTTCTCGCTTACAATATCCATGTAATAGTAATAAATAAGACATTGTTGACCAACTCCATTGATGCTACCAGAATCTGTTTTAAGTTTAAAAGATTTTTTATCATTAGTTAGTAATTGCACAAAACCAAATTTGCCTTAAAAAAACAAATTAAAAAAAAAGACATTTTGAAATAAATGAAAAGATACGATTTGTAACAAGTTAAACAAACCTGATTTACATGTACTATTGGAATAACTTTTTGTTGGACAATAACCATTGTTGCAAAAGTACATATCCCAATTGTATGGATCGATTTGATAAGGCAATTTACATATTTCTCCATTATCTGTCGGCTCCACTAAATAAACATAAATATTGAATATTTACAGAACAAATAATGAAATATAAATTTTTCATACAAATCGAGTTTACATCTGATAAAGGTCTATTTGGTGGTGTGACAGTCAAGTTTCCTACATTTATGAGAACAATTGTTCCCGGCGTAAAACAATTGTCAATTAAAGAAGCATTATCAAAATTACATTTGTACAGAACTTGATTTGGACTAAATGTTGTGAAAATAAGAGTTTCTACTTCTGAAGTTTCGAGATTTTTAGTTGTGGAAATATCAGGTACAGTCAACATTGATGTATGTATCTATTACAATAATAAAATTTATATAAATTTAATAAAAAAAATTCATTACCATTTGTACTGATGAACTACTTGAAAATTTAAGAAAACAATAAGAAAATTTAAACAATATGAAGATGTGCAAGTTCAAACCTGACAATGTCATGAATTGGACTTGTTATTGTTGTTAGAGTATCGGTAGTTATATGTTGATCACCTAGAACAACATGAATAGTTTTATCTTTGTATATTTTTGTCAACATACCATGTTTGCCTTGTCGAATTGTTATTTGATCCAATCCAATATCAATTAAAGCGAATTCCCATGATGTTTTCTGTATATCAAAATAGAGCTAAAAAACATTACAACATTAATTGATTAAAGTATAGATAAAAAATAAATTTTTTCTACTTTATAACCAGGCATCGTCGCATTGAATGAGATTTCACGTTTAATCCATCCATTAAATGGACTACTTGTAACAAAATCAATTATCTCATTTGTGCCACCCACTTCTTCTTTACGTACAGTAATGCTTTTTTGACCAAAACTTGACATATAATAATAATAAATAAGGTATTGTTCATTTATACCATTAATACCATTCGGTTCAGTCTTCAATTGGAAAGTTTCTGTTTTATTATTCAACAACTGGAATCCAACATATTGTCCTATATATAAATATTAATATAACAATAAACAAAATTATAATTATTAATTATTGTACAAACCTGATGCACATTTACTGCGTGCACTAGTTTCTGTTGGACAATAATCATTGTAACAAAAGTACATATCCCAAGTGTAATTACCTATTTTATAGGGTAATTTACACATTTCTCCATTATTTGTTGGTTGTGCTAAACAGAAAAGTGGTAGATATAGAAGTGATCATATAGAATCTTTATTCTTACAAATTGATGTTACATCAGAAGATGGACTCTTTAGTGGTTGATCATCGAGCACGGCGAAGTTTGAGAGAAGTAAGACCGGTGTAGTGAAACAATGTTCGTCTAATGTAGCATTATCAAAATTACACTCGTAAAGTATTTGCGAATAAACATATGATAGACATATTAAGACTGAAAAATTGGTAAGTAAGTTGGGATACATAATAATTTCCAATTGTTTTCGAGTGTACTACAAAAAAAAAGAAACTGAATGAGAAGTAGATACCCTGGTTTCATTGTTTTAGTTTAAAAAAAAAATTCTTTAGTGCTCATCGGACCATTTATGATAACTCAAGATACAAAGAAATGACTCATGTCTGTTATCTGTTGGTGTGTTAAGAAATTCATTTTTTTTTCTTTCTGCGTTATGAAGTAAAGTTAAGATAACAGTCGAGCAGTCTGTATTAAAGTCGAACAGAAACAATATTGAAAAAGTTCATTCGACATTAATCAATAAGTTCTTTCTAGATGTTCTTCTTATAATATAATCATTTATAAAAATTGTATTCACTATTGAATTAATAATCGATAGATTTTCTTCTTCTTAATTTACACTTATCAATTATTGAAAATAGAAGCACATTTATTTATTATTCATAAGCAATTTAATTCTTTTAGATTTATTTACAATTGAATGTTACATTAATAAAAAAATATATAAAATCAAACGTTTAATCTTTATTATTTATGTTACGTTGTAATTTAAAATATTGAAAATGAAGAGAAAAAGTTTTTGGCTACTGAAGACTTAAGTTTTGTAAAATGTTTTTTATTTTGTTAAAGAATGGTTCATTGTGAAGAAATTTAATTACGTGTTTAAGAGGACTTAAACATTCACTCGGTTGAATTTACAATGCCATGGCAAACTTTTTCTAGTACAAAGAAACTTTATTTTCGTTTAGATGAGATTCAAAATAATAACATACGGCTTAACTTGATTGTGAAAATTGAGGCATAATGTTGATATGTAAGAAAAAAATTATAGTTAACTGAGAATATGAACTCATGGATATCTGAACTAAAATTGATATGATTATATTTGGGAAATATACTGATTTGAGTCATTCTTGACCAGCCAAGAATCCAAAAAAAACAAATTTATGTACTAAATAAAATATGCTAAATTGTCATTTATGAATTATATATTAAAATATATAAGATAGAATCTTATAAATTTATTATATTTCATAGAAGTACAAAAAGAGAGAATATTTATAGTCAACAAGTAAGAAAAGGAGAAGGTTCTCTTTACTTCTATGGCAGTCACGATTGTCGTAGCAGACGACACAGTTATAATTTACTGGTTCTTTTCTACATTCAACAATCTCCTTCACATATTCTAATTTTGCCAATTCTAATCCTACTGAAAAAGTCTCTATTAGATGATTTTAAAAATTGAGATATTTCTAAAAAGGTATAGGACGAAACAAAAGAAAGAATGTGTATTTGAGACAGAAGCTTCATTCTATATTCAACTTATACAATCATTAAAGTCAATCGAGATTTATGTGACCTTATTGATTGTTTCAATACTACTGCTTCTTTCTTCCTTGCGAACTTTGATAGTAATTTGATTTTTCAATTATATTCACGATGGAATAGTGACAGATAAGACACTGTAGCTTTTAACTATTATTAATGTTATCAGCTTTGCGAGATTGAGACAGAAAGAAGCTGTTCATGAATTCTTTTATACCAGAACCAGAATAACTAAATTTACTTGAAACGTTTATCTACATAGAGATGAATTACAAATACGTAAAATATTTTCTCACGTTCTTTGAATTAACCTGGTGTAAACGAACTGTTGAAGCTACTTGCTCTTCGATAGACATCATTGTTACAAAAATGTCTGTTTCAAGTGGATATATATGTGAGAAATACTATCTTTCGAACCAAATGCATTTTTCTTCTCTTTGTTTATGATAAAATTTTCGAAGTCATTCGATATATACGTAAGTTTTGAATATCTAATGGCATTTATATATATACTTAATACAATATATACACTGAAACAGTTTATTGAAAAAAAAATTCATTTATATTCAAATCTGAGTGAATATGAATTTTCAAATTTGTTTGATAAAACCTTATTTGCATATATCATATTATTATTTTTATTATCGAAAAAATTTTTCGTTTGAAGAAATTCAAAGAATAGCTGATTGAGTTTCAATGTCATCCTATTGCAATACAGTTAGAGGGTTTCTGTGTTTTCGAAATGAAAAACAATCTTATATTCGTAATCTTAATTTCTGTTCCAGTTGCTGTGGATTCATCAATAATTGATGATCTTATAAAAGAACCTTTGAATGAAGAGCCAACTGAACAAAATTTCAAATGATATTTTGAATGATCAATAGATTTTTTTTGAGGATGCACACAGAGAATATTTTGAATGTTTCTATTTCTTATTTAAAGTCAAAAGAAAGCAGAATTTCAAAAATAAATTATTTTTCATGATAAATAAAATATTCGTACTAATCGATACATCAGAGGCAAAGTAATAGTAACAGAATATTGACGACAGTGGCTAAAAAAAAAGAATAATAGCATTATTATTGTGGTATCCTACTAATAAAACGACAAGTTTTAACTATAAATAGATACGAATAATAACCAAGGAAAACATCGTATAAAAACTTGACTGATTAAAAATTATTAAATTAGTAACAACTGTAGCCAGAGCAATCATATAAGTATTACTGGATTGAATGCATGGATTATTAGATAAAATAGTTAAAACTGATAAGGATTTAGTTGGTCTCAGAGTATTACTAGTAACCAAAACTGATGATGTTGTTTTTTGCTGTTCGCTATGGTCAACGACCTTAGAGATGTAATTTTTGTTATCAATAGAAGATAAAGTAATTATGACTGGTTTCTTTTTATAAATTCATGGAAATAACTCGCTAGCAGTGATAGTTCTTAAATTATGATAATGTTTATTATTGAACCGATTGATATTTCTTGTATATGGCTAACCATAGTATAAAGAAAAAAGCATATTAAAAAAAATCATAGAATAGTATTTCTTGAAATGTAACCTAGTTATAATCTGGAATTCAGTTGATGTGATTGATGTGGTCATAGTTGCGACAACTAGATTGTACTTTATATAGAAAATATCATTCTATAGAATAATTGATCTATCACAAATATCTTGCAAAATCGAAATTTCATCAACTGCAACATAAGTTTGAGATAGAACTGCTCTAGATGTTCTTTCAACATCAAAGTAAATCTAGATATGAATCAAATGATGAAGAAATATTATTACCTTGTATCCAACTTTTTTACTATTAAATATTACATTTACTACTAGTTCTATCTATACCTTGTCAAACTACCCTAAATCCAGTAACAAACCTATTCGCAATTGTAGCATTATCAAAGTTACATTGAAACAATATTTTGCATTTGAGCACATTCAATGAATGTGTGTATTACTGAGAATCAATTGAAATGAAATTCGTTATATAGAGTGGATAGATTAGATTCTTACAAAAACATAGAAGACATAATAATTGTTTAATTGTTTCAAGTATCCGGAGAAACATCTGAATATAAGATCGTTCTCAACATCAATTTATAATATTTCATTCACAAAATGATTATCACCGGATGTTATCTTTCATCAACAGAATAACAAATTCTTTTTTTGTTATTGTATTTTAACGCAATAACTATGAATAGAAGTTGTCTAGATGTTATTACTATCATTTTTATCAATGTTTGCTTATCGAAGTTTGGTTTCTGAAATTATTCTTGTTGTCATTTGCTTCTATAATAAAAGGCAAACTTTAATATTGACATAATACTTTTACACTTTAAAAGTACTTAGGATTCGAAATAAGAAGACAATTATTTTTTATTAATAACACTTGAGAATAATTAGATAGAAAAAAGTTCAGAAAAATCTAGTATGATAATTGAAACAGAATATAAATTGTCGAATATCATTAACAAAAAGAATTTTAATGTTGATCATCACCACTCGCCATTCAGAAATCTGAAATTCCATAGCATTTGAGATGAGATTTGATGAACTCTACTACAATGAAAGAATTGGAAACACTGTCATTTACAACTCTATGGACGGGATTACCAATACTTGCACGTACAATCCTAATGGATATAATCCGAACAATCAATTCAATTTTGTGAACGATGAGTGTATCACAATATTTCAAATGATCATTGAAATATTCAATTGTTGAATATTGACATAACATTCAAAAACACGAAAAGAAACTTTATCATATTTTTTTTGTTATGTATGTATATATATTTAACTTTCTCATTCGTTGCTCTTTCCCAACACATAATATAAACCAAAAAAAAAACAAAAAAAAAAGAACATAACTGATGAAAACAATTTAAAAATGCAAGAAAAAAAAATAATGATGTTCTACAGATTGGAATGTATTAATGTTTATAATGAAAGAAAATACTTTAAAATTAATAAATTTGTTTTGAAAAATAAAAGAAAAATTGAAATATACATCCAAAAAAAGAAAATTGTTTTAATTATCAATTGGTATTGTTCGAAAAAAAAAAGAGTAAAAGACCGGTCAAAAATGAATAATAATTCATTCTCACTGTATGTAAAATGGACGGATTATAAAAAAAAGAAAAAAAATATCACAATACGAATAAATCGAATATTTTATCGATTATTAACAGGTGTAACACTTCCACAAGCTGAATCATCACGTGATGTTGGCGTTGGTGTTGGAGTAACATTAGCTGCATTTGCTTGTTCAACAAATCTTGCGTACATTACTTGAGCTATATGATTAACTTCAGTTATATCTGGCCGTTGTTCAGGATCTAATACAAGACATCTTGCAACAAGATGACGAAGCTATAAAGAAAAATAAAAATCTCAACAATAAATAAAATAGTTTCACAAAGAACAAACTTCATGTGAAAATATATTTGCTGGTAATGGTGCATAATCAAGTGTTAAAATTTTTTTACGTAATAATACGAGATTCAAATTTTCACCCCAAAATGGAGAACGAAGTGCTGCCATCTAAAAACCAGACAATTAAACAAAAAAAGAAAATTTTATCTTTACTTCATATAAAATACAACCAAGTGACCAGATATCAGATCGAAAATCATAGCCAAGATCATGTTCGTGAATACGTTCTGGAGACATATAATATCTATGATTGATTTCAATAGAATTAATATATGATTAAGTATTAAAACTTACGGTGTACCAACCATAGAATGAGCTGAAGTTGTTTTTGAACCAAAAAAACGTCCTTGACAAAAAAAAAAATTATCATGAAATAAATATCAATAATAAATTAAACTAACCTAATCCAAGATCACCTAATCGAACAATACCTTCAGCACTTACAAAAATATTTGCCGGTTTAATATCTATTAGTTAAAAAAAAAAAAAAACAAAATAATTTTCAATGAAAAATAAAAACACATATATTTGAATACCTCGATGCATAATTCTTTTTGAATGCATATGTTCAAGACCACTACAAATTTGTCGAAAAAATTTCCATATTGTTTTTTCAGTCATTCTTTTATTTGTTTTAATAAAATGTTTTATCATTTGAGCTAAATCACCTGCACTAGCTAATTCCTGAAATAAAGAATTTCAATTAAAATATATTAAAATAAATAAAAATCTTACCAAAACAATATATAAATCATTTTCTTCGACAAAATGAGATATGTATTTAATTACATTTGGATGATTAAGTTGCTAATACAAAAAAAAAAAAAAAAACATGAAAAATAATATATTGGTTTTCTTTTATTATTCTTAATTAGAAAATGTCATACTTGAAGTAAACTTATTTCACGTTTACAATCATCAATAGCTTTAGCATCAGCCATTTGACTCAACTAAAATGAAAATTTTCATTATCATATTGTTTTTTTTTTTGTATTTTGAAAAATAATCTTACTTCAACTTTTTTCAAAGCAACATAAGCATTATTGAAACGATTTCGAGCAGAAAAAACAACAGAAAAATGTCCAGAACCAAGTTTTTTAATAATTTCAAAATTTTTTAATGCTCCATATGGATTAGATACACCTTGAGCTGATAATGGGCCAATAACATTATGTTGAATACTCATATCTTAAAAATAAAAAAAAAGAAGAAGAAGATAAATATCATTAAATAAACTAAACAAAAAAATAATTTGTTTTCTGTTTTTCTTTTTCCACATTTATTTATTTATTATACATTGAGAGAGAAAAAAAGAAATGAATAGAAATTTTTATGTTTATATGCCAAATTTCTCTCATATATTATTGTATTTCAGCTGTTGAATTAAGAATAAATCGAACAACAATAGCAAATACAGCTAATAAGGCAAGAATCATTAAATTTCCAATAAGATTATTAAACCATGATGTTGATGATGAATCACTATTTGATGTTGATGATAAAATAGATTGTTGTTGATTATTAGAATTAGAATTAGAATTTATTGTTGATAATTTAGCAGTTCGTTCATCTAAAGTTTTTTTTATTTCATCAGTTATATCAGGAAATAATTCACAAAATATTGAATCTTGAATATTATATGATAATGAATCATAAGCAAATTTACGTTTTTGTGCATATGTACTTTCTATACTACCAAATGTTGCACTTGTATCGCACATAAAACTTAAAAAACCATTTAATATTGATGATATTGACCTTTAATTAAAAAAAAAACAAAACAAACATATCGAATAGTTTTATTTTATATTTAGAAAAAAAAAAGAAAAAAGAAATCAAACTTTACCAAGATGGATTCCATGAATCAGGATGAAATGATGTTATTGTTAAACATAAACTTGTATTAGTTTTAAATCTTCCATTAGGTGTTAACATATATATACCTAATAAATGATTAATATTAAATTTAATTGATAATTAAAAAACAAAAAAAAAAAAAAAACACTGTACTTGGTGGTTTATAAGGATATTCAACAGGAAAAACAATTTTTCCTTGATATACTCCACCTTCATAAGGAGTATCATTTGGTCCTCGTACAACATAACGCCATTCTAATAGATTTGATGATAATGGTTGAGCTGTTAAATATGGAATTGGATCTTTAGCTAAACGACGATATTCAGCTTGAAGACGTTGAAATGCTGAATTTGATTTCATAGACATTTTTGATAATTATATTGATATAACAAAACGGAAGGATAATGTACTAAAATTTAACAACACCGATAATAAGAAAACAAATTAAGCGGACGAGTTTTGCTTTTCGCCGGTTGTTGCTTCCCACGCCCTTCTTTTTTGCAACTAATCATTGGACCATGTTTTATTAAACGTGTTGCCATTTCAAAATTATTTCATCCTCATAAGTAAGCTCAGATTTATCCATCAGAGGTCGCACGATGTCAAAGTTGCTTTTCTATACACAAAATACGTCATTAACAGATTATCAATGTTAACAAAATGTAATAAGGTACATATTTACTTTAATCACATCTTCATGCTGATTGGTTAATTTCACACATACAGCATTGCACCAGGATAAGGGCGTGGTGACTTAAATGAATATGCCATATTAAAATAGAACTATATCGAATTCGGATAATTTGACAAATACAAAGAAAAAAGTTTTGTTATATTCAAAGATTCAATTTACTAATTTATGCTATTTATTTTTTAATGAAATATTGAATGGTATGACTATCAATATAAATTGTTGTGTAATTAAAAAAAAGTTACCATCATTATTGACGGTAAAAACAGGTTAAAAATATTTATTTTAACAAAAACTTTCATGTATATTTTCCAATTAAAATGAGATTAGTGTAAAATTACTCGTAATTTTTCGCTAAGCTAAATATATTTTCTCAGGTAACAAAATAACATTTTTTTTTGTTAGATTTATAAGGTTTTTGTTTTTTTTTTCGTTAGTAAGTAAATGATAAAAAAAAAATCTTTTATTGATCATTACAAAAGAATCATCTGAAGTTCTTGTGTAGACATGCATAGTTGAACGAATGATTAAATTTAAAAATATCTAATACATGCGAAGAGTTATGAATCACCTTTATTTAATAACAACGAACGAGCAACAATACTTAAAAAATTTGAATTGTCAATGAAATATATTCAACATAATTATTCGATCGTTAACTAGAGAGAAAATGTTCTTTGATAAGTAGATTTACTGATGAATCATGAATTGTTGCATAGTATCTTGTCGTTTGAAATGATTTATGTCAATCATGATAAAAAGTTTGTCTAGTAGAGAGTTCCTAACCAGTCGGTACACTGATAGATCTAAATTTTTAAAAATTTTAGCTTGTTTCTTTTTTTTTTGGAAAACCAAATGGTATTGACAGCTATTTCTTGGAGGAAACATGTACTAGATGATGATATTTAATCAATATTCGTCATAACGTATATTATGTTGTTTATAAACTTATTTCGTTATCATATGCTGTTATCAAAATAAGATTAAATCATTGTTTATCAATACAGCTCATCATAGACTCATTTGTATTTCCATATTATTGATAGCATATACTTTGTAGAGTCATGAGAAGTAATAAAGAGAATGTAATATGAGAATCAGATAATTAATCATATTCGTACTTGGTAAACAGCTAATCGATGTACAAAACTAATTTAGAGTCTAAAGTTCTACAAACTTTTTTCATGTATTTTCTGATAGATGTCTAAAGAAAAATATTATAGTAATGAAAAAAAAAAAAAGACGATTCTTAAATTATTTCTCTAGTGATTAGAAGATCGATGTTGACTAATGAAGATCTTTAGTTTAACCAGAACCCGCGCGAAGGATCAAATATTAGAGGGGTGTTTGGCAGATTGGGGGGGTGTAAGAGAGTATTTTTAGAAAAATCTTGCAGAAAAATCATAAAATGTGGACAAAATCTGCTCTTGTGGCCGGATAAAACTGAAAAATTTTTATTTTCGGGGGTGTACCCCCCTAAACCCCTGTTCGCGCGGGGCCTGAGTTTAACTGTCATAGGATCAGAAAAAAAAACAAGAATGATTCATATGTATTAAAGTACATGCATATTTCTTTGATAAAATTTTTATCTACAAGTATGTCAAACATTTTGTTTTTTTTTTTGTTTTATTCACAAAATTTGTTTCATTTTTTTTTTCTCCGAAATTTCATATAAGATATTAACCTAAAAGTATCCAAGTCAAAGCAAAATATTTTTCATCATATTGAATATCTGAATGTTGTATTCCATGAATTGGAATAAATTTAATTTGATCAATATCTTTCCAATTAAATTGAAATACTTTTGAATCATTAAATTGAAGAATAATTGTTTTTGAATAAATATCTTGTTTTGATCGTTTTCCAATAACATCTATTTGAAGATTATCATGCCAAGCTGATGTTGCTTCAAATGAAATTAATGTAAATTTTTCAATATTTTTATGTCTAGAACATATTTTCATAGAATTTCCTTTTCCATTAAAAATAATACAATTATGATTATGTGTATAAGCATTTTTCCAACCACTAATTGTATGATTAGTTTTAACCCATTGTTCATGCATATACCAAACATTAATCCATCTTAAACCTTCATATAATTCAGGCATTAATCCAGAATCAATTTTATTTTCCATTTCTATAAGTTTATCAAATGTGATTAAACGACTTGTTGGATTATGAACTAAATAAATCAATGAATTTTTTTTCATTGATATAAAATAAAAAATTTACCTGCAGATTGTAAAATTTCTACATGATTTGTAAGAGTTTGAATTTGTTCTTCAAATTGTTGATTCATATTAATAAGTTGACTAAGTACAGATCGTAATCGTTCATAATTACATATTGATAGATGATTTTTAAATTCATCACGTGTACCTGACCAAGGACATTTTATATCAGATGCTGTACAACTAAGAAGAGTTTTTGGACAAAATTTTATTATATGATCATTTAAATTTCCACGTTGAAATCCACTTTGTTGACATTGAGAACATTTAACAAGAAGTTTATCAAGAATATTTAATACTAAACGAGTTGTTATTGGTGTTAAATCATTTGTTGATAAAGTTTGACGACATATTGGACATGATAAATGACCTTGATCTAACCAATATTGAATACAATTTTGACAATAACTATGATCACATGGTGTTGTTACTGGATGTTTAAATGGTTTACTACAAATAGAACATTTATAATTTTCATCAATAGATAATTCATCAACATATTCATAATCAATATTTGTCATCTAGAATGAAAAAAATTATATTTTACTTAAATAATATAAAATGATGTGACTTTACCTTTTGGATTGTTTTGTTTTTTGTTGAATGATCTATGTTGTTCTTTTCTTTCTCTTTTTTTTTATTCTTTTATTTTTCAAATGACACATGAAATATTATGGAAGGTTTAGATGTTTTTTCTTGATGACTACAGAAAAAAAAGAATTAATGATGACTTGTTCTTACTGATAAAAAGTTTTTAAATTAAAACTTTCTTAATTAAATAAAACTGATTGATAATATATATATATATATATAATTCTAAAATGAAACATTCTCTTTGCTATTTATTGTCGAATAATATCCGATAAACTAAATTTTTTTCATAAGTATCACGATACATTAGAACAATATTAATGCTAGGGAGTTCTTCAGTCGAAATTTTCTCGAATTAAAAGTTCTAATTTTAAGTAATATTGTCATATTTTTGAAGATTATGTTTTAGATAAAAAATTTTCAATATTCGATATTTAATAAGATATTAGATATAAACGAAAATTTTCGTATATTGAATATATCTAAGAAAGAAAGATCAAAGTGAATGAATGTAATGCGCTTCGCCGAAAACAAGATTGTCGAAAACTCACATCGCCGACTCGACATGGAAATTTACGGTGAATTTCCACGTCGAGTCGGCGATGTGAGTTTTCGACGATCTTGTCTTCGGCGAAGAGCATACTTACCATTTAAACTGTGTTAATGAATTTCAAATTGAGTCATGATTATTTATAGTTTTCGATCACTAGTGCCCTCTGTTAAATTGGATTTTCTCATTTGATGACATAAAAACCTGTTTGAAAATGTTTCTTTGCTGTAATCAAATTGATTAACTTACATAAATATTGTTTTCATTGACTTCTATTTCATCATAAATGGCTTTTGGTCGTGGTCATGCATCTTTTACCATCGATACATTAAAATTAGCTAAAGATAGTTTACCAGCTACTGTAACTGAGCCGCCACCAGTATATCCGGTATATATAATTATTTAATTCATATGAGAAAAGATCAATTTGATATTTATTTAGTATTATTTTAAAAGGAATTACTCAATACACCACATCCATTAATTGAAAATCCAACAAATGATTATGATTATAAATTAAAACTTAAATTAAATTTTAATTCAAGTTTTCGAACTTTACATGATCCAAAAAAAGATGATCATGAAAAAAACTTCATTTTAAATAAATGGAAAGAAGGTTAATTTGATTGATATTCATAAAAAAAAAAAAAAAAAACAAATATATTCTTGTAGAATGGTCTATTCTACCTCGAGAATTAAAACTAGCATCTCGAATCAATATAAATGCATCAAAAACTAAACCAAATCTATCAAAAAAAAATATTACAATAGAAAATAAAAAGAAAAAAACTACATTTAATATTGATCTTAATACAGTATGTGAGACTTCTATTTTGTTTTTATTTAATAAATAAAAATATTTTTTCATTAACTTTTGTTTTTTAGTATGAAGAAAAAGAAACAGGTGCTGGTGATGATGAAGGTGATGATGAACAAGAAGAAAAAAATGATGATAATGTTGATATTAATGAAAATGATGAAGATAATGAAGGAAAATTGAAAGGTTTTTAATTTTTAAATTTGATTAAAATAAAATATTTTGTTTTTTTTTTTATGATTGTTTCGATACAGAAAAAAAGAAACTAACAGATAATGAAAATGAAGTTGATGGTGAAGTACCAAATGAAGAAGAAGACGAAGATATGGATGCAGATGAAGTATGACAATTAAAAAAAATATATTTTTAAGAAAACCAATTATCTCTTTTTTGTTTAGGCAGCAGATTATATTGATACATATTTTGATCCAGGTGATCGAGATGATGATGATTTTGATGATGATGGAGGTGATGGTGGAGATTAAATTTTTCGTTTTTTTTGTTCTGTTTGTTTAATAAAAAGAAAAAAATAGTCAAGAGATCAATCTCTTCTTATACATTCGTGTGATATGATTGTTTACTTCTAGATTCTTTTTTTTTTGTTTTATTCTCTTGTTTTTTATTTATGTAATTATTAATGGCCTCATTAAAACAAAATAACAATCGAAAGATTAAAGACGGTAAGTTTATTGATATGATTTATTGTATATGATTAGTTAGGATGACATATATATATAACAGTTTTGATTGATCATTTGTAGACTGTTGATAATTAGTTTTGGTAAGAATAAATAAATAATATTAACCTTGTTTAGTCATCTGTGACTGAATAAACAAGCAAACAACCATTTTTATTGCTAATTTGCGCTTATCCTTATGCTTGAACAATAATAAATTATCAACTTCTACTATGCGTTCTGTTTTCTTTGTTGTTCCATGATTCTTGATATATTCTTAGTGTAAGAAAAAATTCGGAGTACATATTTGATTAATACATATTAATGTATAAATGAGCTTGAGATAGATGATAATAAAAGGCCGAAAAAAAATATAATTGCTTATTACTGATTAATCATCGATTTGAATAGCAAAACATTAATAATATTTTTTCGATTTTTGACTTTTTGCTATCATTCGCTTGAGATAGATATCATATTTTTTAAGAGTCAATTATTGTTCAAATTTCATTAACAATATAGTATAGATATTATATTCGTGTTTAATGTTCTTTACGAAATAAAAATATGTGTTTGTTTTATTTTTTATCATTCTTGTTAAAATGTACTAATATATTATGTTGAATTTCTATTAATTAATAACAATGAAAAATAATATTGTTTTTTTAGAAACAACCAGTTCAAGAAAAAAGATATCAACAACAACAACTATTAATAGAATTTCTTTAAGAAATAAAACATTAAAGAAAGATCTTTTACTACCACCGACAAATATTGATAATGTTATTAAAAATAAAAAACTGAAAAATAGTATTGAAGAAAAATATTTATTTAAAAAGTATTCTCATCCATATCAAAACAAAAATAATACAAAGTAAGTGGTAGACAGTCGATTTTTATTCAATGTTTGCTTAAGAACAGAAAATTTTACGAGTATCGACACTTAGTATGCATGTTTTATGGGCATATGTAAGATTACAAAAAAAAAACGAACTTGTTTGACATATTGCTAAAAAATTTGTAAAAGAATGCTTGCTTCACGTCTTTCAAAAGCGTCAACTATCAATACTTCTGAAGAGAACGAGTAAGTTCAGTTTTTTTGTTGCCTTATTCTACACATTATAGTTTTTACTTTTGCTCACTGTATATCTTTATTGTGTGATTAAATAAATAAAATTAGTTGTTACAGTTACTTATTATAATTGATTAATAATAAATAAAAATTACTGTTCGAAACTACATAAATTCGACGTTGAATTATGCCTAGTCTGTCTTTCTATGATTACTTTATTGTATGACGTCATTTATCGTTCTGTACATTTTCTTTCGGCGAAATAATAGTTAGTAATATGCAAATATTTGTCCATAAGCATGAATTATTTTTTATTTATTTTTTCTTTGAAAACGACTGAGAATAACCTCTAGTCTAACGAACAAATGTACCATATAAAATTTATTCACTGATTTGAAATGAATAAGAAATAATGAAGAAAAAAAAACAAGAAGACAGAAAGAAATTGTGATTCCATGACGTGTATAAAGAGGAAATGTGCCAGTTGTTATTTCACAACGGCATGAAAGTTTTTAACTCATATTAATATGACCTAGAATTGTTTTGCTTTCAGATCGATTTATTGATTCTATGCTAATAATGAGCTAAAAAAAAACAAAAAATTTTTAATCTAATACTTGTGATTGATGATATATAAGATTTGATACAAAGTAAAATGAAAGGTTATCGTTAATTCACAACTTCTTTTGTATATTTCTACAAATAATTTTATTCGTGTTTTTTTCCCCATCTAGACTTTTAGATAATCGATCATCATTATCAGCTACCGATATAAAAAATCCGTATTTAATAAATTCTGAACCATTTTCAATTACCAAACGATTATTTCCAAAAACAGAATATCCTTCATCTCAACGTGACTCTCTTAATTCAATAACCAGTGAAAAAGTTTCATTAATGACGGCATTAGAACAATCAAGTGTAGTTCAACCACTATTAACTGATCTTTATCAAATATCAATGGCATATGCTTATTGGAAAGCAAATAAATATCAAGAAATGGCAACATTTGATTTATATTTTCGAAAAAATCGTAAGTAAATTCAAGAAGAAAAATTTATTGAATCTATTTTCTTTTTTTTTTTTTTTTTTTGGAAAATCTTAGCATTTGGTGGTGAATATACATTATTTGCTGGTCTTGATGAATGTTTGAAATTTGTTCGTGATTATAAATTTCATCAAACGGATATTGATTATCTTCGTACAGTATTACCAACTTATACAGAACAAGAATATTTTGATTATTTACTTAAACTTGATATGAATGATATTAAAATATTTGCTGTACCAGAAGGTAAATATTGTTTTTTTCGTTTTTCAAATACTTCAATGGTGCATGAAAAAAGTCGGAAGTGTATTTCTTCTTGAATAAGAATAACGAATATATACTATGAGATTATACAATCTATGATGATAAAAAAATTCATATAAAAAACAGTTCATTCACATACTCAACAATTCTTCTGACGATGGAGTAGATAATAAAGATGATAGAGTAAAAGAAACTTATAATTATTAGTCAACAAGTTTATTTTCTGTATTCATCAATACATGTTATAGTAGTAGAGACAACTTTTACAGTGTAGTTTTCTTCATTTTATGTTGTTTTTCTTAGATTTATCGAGATCATAGGATTTTTTTATGACATTCTTCGGTGTTTGTAAATTAATATAAAATAGTATCATTCACTTCTGTTTTTTATTACAAAACATATAAAATAGAGCATGTCTATAAAAATAATCATTCGATCAAAACAAAAATAAAAGTTGGTAAGAGTATTAGTATGTTTTATGAGAATTCAAAGTCTACGATGCTTTTTACTATTTATTTATGATAGCTGAGATAAAGTGCAATGTCGACTCACATTATAAATTTACGTAACTCGTGGCGAACGGAACAAAAACGTAAACCAAACGATTGTCGAATTAGCATTCAATGTGACACGTGATGTTTTGAAACATCTTCATCTGCTAGAGTACAGTACTGTTAAAACGCGTTGTTGATCCATTCGCCTCGACCTGGGTGTCCCTTATAATAAAGGTATCTGAATAATACACAAAAAACTGATCATCATCATCATCATCGTACATTTATTATTCCGAGAAAATCTGTGACTAAAGATTAAGTTATATCAATAAGAAAGAAAAAATAAAAACATGATAACGATAACACGGTTGCATTCGTTGACTGAAGAAATGACATGATGATAATGTAGGAATTTTGTATGAACATTGCTTTAAATTATTTGATTACGATTGACATCAAAATTGACATAGAAAGAAAAGAAATTCTAATAACGATATTTTAAGTTAATATCCAATTCACATCAATTTTTACTCATTGAAAGCTGGTGATCGGATGATTCGTTCTGCGTCTATGAATGTAAGTGTAGATGTTGATTTGAATGAGGAATTTTTGTGTACGCTTACATATACACCCACGTGCACCTGCACCCATCCTCACTCACCTACTTTCAATGTTTCTTCAAAAACTCATTAAGATTAACCCTATCATGCAATGAATTACCTCACGACAAATTATCCTAGCATTTTAAATTCATTATTTTGTTTTCTTCGAATTCTCAAAATGTATGATCACTAGTATTCGATGGTTTCCAAAAACTAACACGTGGAATCGAAACCATTAAATCTTCAGATAGATACGAAAAATGCTCACTATTAAATAATTGAAATTCCAGACGCTACATATTTCAATACTTAAACAAGTCAATATCATTCATGTACACTAACATCTTTAATCTCAAAAATGATAAAATAAAAGTTTCTTGTCACAGACTTAAGAACTTTTGTATCTGTCTAATGATTTAACGGTTCAGGTTCGGTGCATGATTTCAGTTTTGTGAAACTGTTGAACTTTAATAGTCACTAATCAGTAAAACAAAAAACTCAATATTTTGTGTTGTGAACATTACAACACCATAGTGATCACTCATTGAACAAAATACTTTTGCAAAAAATATTTAAAAATATGTATTTATTCAGGTACTGTTGTATTTCCTCGTATACCATTACTACGAATTGAAGGTCCAATACTTAAAACACAATTACTTGAAACAACATTATTAACACTGGTTAATTATGCAAGTTTAGTTGCAACAAACGCTGCACGATTTCGTTCAGCAATAGGAGATGAAAAAACTTTACTTGAATTTGGTTTACGTCGTGCTCAAGGTCCTGATGGTGGTTTAAGTGCATCAAAATATTGTTATCTAGGTGGATTTGATGGTACATCAAATGTATTAGCTGGTAAACTTTATGGCATTCCAATAAAAGGTACACATGCTCATGCATATGTTAGTTCATATGAATCAATGGATGATTTAACTGAACGAGAATTATGTGATCGTTTAAGTGGTGAACGTCGTCCATTTGCTGATTTATGTGTAAAATATTTAAATGAACTTGGTCCAATACTTAAAATTCTTCCTGAACAAACAAATAAAGGAGAATTAGCTGCATTTGCTTCATATGCACTGGCATTTCCAACAAATTTTTTAGCTTTAGTTGATACATATGAAGTACTTAAATCAGGTTTACCAAATTTTTTGGCTGTTGCACGTGCATTACATGAATGCAATTATCAAGCTGTTGGTTTACGTTTAGATTCCGGTGATTTAGCTTATTTATCATTAGAAGTTCGTTCAAAATGTAAAGAAGCAGCTACAAAATTTAATATTAGTTATTTTAAAGATTTTAATATTGTTGCAAGTAATGATATTAATGAGGAGACATTAGTATCATTAGAAAAACAAGGACATGCTATTGATACATTTGGTATTGGTACACATTTAGTTACATGTCAAAAACAACCAGCCCTTGGTTGTGTTTATAAATTAGTTGAAGTAAGAATTCATTGAAATTTTTGTTTTTTTTTTGATTTGATAAAATTCTTGTTTAGCTTGCTGGTTCACCACGTATAAAAGTTAGTCAAGATATTGAAAAAGTAACAATACCAGGTCGAAAAAATCTTTATCGAATATTTGGTCATGATGGAAAAGCTTTATGTGATTTATTAACAAGATTTGATGAACCAGCACCACAAGCATCAGTTAAAATTCTTAGTCGTCATCCATTTTCTGATCAAATACGTGCTTATGTTACACCAACATCAGTTCAAAGTTTATATAAATTATATTGGGCTGATGGAGAAATTAAAGAACAATTACCAACATTAAAAGATATTCGAGAATATGCTAAAGAACAATTACATCAATTACGAAAAGATCATATACGTGATCTTAATCCAACACCATATAAAGTATCAGTTACAAATTCATTATTTACATTTATGCATGAACTTTGGATGAGAAATATACCAATTGGTGAACTTGAATAAATTAGTATATGAAAGAACAAAATAATTGATTTAAATTGAACTGTGATCGATTACATAAATGTTGTCAGTAGAAATTTTTGTGATCTTCGGTGTTTTTTTTCCTTTGTGGTAGTCCTACATTTATATTAACATCATTTCAATGAGTATATTATCCATCAATAAATATAATGAGTCATTTTCGAGTCTATTGATCTAGATTTTGTTATTCATTATATTTTTTTTTCTGTCTTTTTTCCTGTTGTATTTAAAATAAAAACAATCATATTTTACTGTTAACGAACACTTTATTATTTTCTTTGAAATCGGAAGCAGAAAATTAAACATGAAAAACCCAAGAATGAAAAAAAAACCATCAGAATCATGATTGACTTAAGGGTACTTTCCCTTCCTTTTTACCCGTTTCGGATTTTCGAACACAGTGCAATTGATCAAGCTCAAATTTTTATCATGGATAGAGTACCAAAAATAAACGAGACACGTGTTCGAGGAAAAAACTTTGAAGTAGTTTTTTGCGCTTTTTTTCTGCAATCTGATTCCTTACGACTCTCATCCAACTTTGTTCAAATGGACTGGAGTTTGTCTCACTGATATTTGGAAGTACTCTCCACAGATAAAATCAGCCGTTTCTGACCTTCCTACTCGGATCTGCAAGGATCCTGAAAGCTAAGACTCTGATATTGATACCGAACATTTACGTATTTCTCTCGTAAGAAAAAGAAAATTAGACTTTTGAAAAGTCTTAAAATTACTTCTGAGACATAGTCGTAAGTAATCAGAGTTTCCGACTGAAGAACCTGCAAAAACTTACTTCAAAGATTTTTTTCTCGAAGAAATACCTCGTTATTTTTGGTGCTTTATTTGTGTTAAAAGTTTCCGTTTGATCGATTGTATCGTGTTCAAGAGTTCGAAATGATCGGAAAAAGGCGCAAGCAATGTTACATATGTGAAATTTGACATAACCTAATTGAAACAATGATGATTATGGATCTATGGGATAGCTAAAAGATTAATCCTGCTATCGTACTTTTCGTGAAAACAGTGCGTTGTCAGATGACTGTTTTTTCAAAATTTTCAAATATCCGCGTTGAATGAGTATAGTCATAAATAACCGTACTTCGAAAGAAACTGCACTTTACATATCTTAGCATTATAATTGTAAAACTTCACGTACTATACAATGAAACTCAATGATTTACACAGAAAAACACTATTGAGTTATATGAACTTTCAAAATACTGTCGTAGTATTTCTATGACATGAAAAATAGTAAATAAAGTTTATAAAACCTATTTTATAATATAAAATAACGAATGACTATTACTTATTTTTATAGATTCATTCGTATTCTTTAATAATAGCAGTCAGTATCATCAGAAGTCATGGAAAACTATCAAATAATCGTGAATCATTGATGCCAATTACGATGACGTCATTGAATTGTTGGAGTGTTCATTTGATCTGCTTTGAAAAGAAATGTAATACTTATTAGGTTTACTTAGACAAAAGGAATTGGTTATCATGCTTGCGAATAATCAAACTGTCAGTTATTACACATTAAAATGATTTATGAAAAATAAAATTCATATTATAGATAGAACCAATTTTACCATTTAGTCTAAATTGTTAATAGTTTACAAAAGAAAGACTATCAATGTCGATAAATTCTAGATGTGTATTACCATTAGACACGAATAAAATAACCACAACAAAAGAACCTTTTGATTAGCACTGAAAATCGGATAACTTATCTTGTTCATGTCTAATTGGTATCGAATCAGGAAAATTATCGCAATTAAATGGATGGCATTATAACAGCAAGATATATCAAACTAATAGATGACTATAGAAAATAACTTCAAACACTCTTGTAACAAAGCTTCAACTAACAAGTAAAATAGTTTCACTTCTCAAGTAAGGATTCTATGCATAAAGTAAACATCAATGAGATATGAAAAAAAAAGTCAAAAAGAATAAATATCCTTGTGTCTTTCTTTCACTCAAGTTTTAGCTCATGATACGGCATATACCAAAAAGTAGAATAACATGATTTCGGTCGGAAATTTTACCCAAAGATAAACATACTTGTCAATAAAATCCTCTGAAAATTTCAACTGAACAGAGTATTATTTTAATGAAATATTATAGTTCCAAAAACTATCATTCATATTCCATGAAACATGCGAGAATCTAATACTTTTGTAGAACTGTATTATCTCTTCAAGGTAATATTTTTTGGAATTGAAATTTTTACAAGTTGAATGAATTACAAAATAAAATATTGATATTCTACTGTTTGCTATATATAACATGCCATAGGCTAATATTCGAATAAAAACCACAAGGACATTTATCATTTTGACGTTTTTCATAACTCACCTATCTAATCTATGCGCAGAGTCGGAACTCAAAAATATTTTATCACTTAGAACGATTTCCTTTCGAGTTGAGTACCGGAATTGGAACTAAAAAGGCAGATCCCATTCATGCCTAATTACTATATTTTTGTGATCTATTTAATCTGTAATATCCTTCTTTATAAAGACTGATTGAAACATGAAAAGGATTGTTTTTCTAACAAGTATTAAAGTCTCAATATAAATCAAATAAAATTCTCATCTATAAATTTTATTCTTAAGTAAAAAAAAGCATAAGTTTATTATTAAAATATGATAATTTTTTCTCATTTGTTAAGAAACAAATATATCTATTCAATAAGAACTATCATCTATTGATTTGATAAATCATAATATTCGTTGTCTAAACTTGACAATCAAACATTATCATGTTTTTTTTATTGGAGAATGCCTTCAAAAAGCATGCCGATCCAATAACTAGAACAAGTCGTTATTGTTATTCTTTGAATAGAATATGTTTATAACTTTTTTTCAAATAAAATCCAATTGAATTTTTAATCATTTTGAATACAGTCGATTATTGTTATTGAATAAAATCAAATCTTGATAATAAATACTGACATATTTTCATAGCTTCTAATACAAATAACAATACATGCGATTGACTAGCGTCATAAATATCCAAACAATATGTAAATTATTTGATCATTTAAATTTTCCTTTTTTTTTCTATAAATGTAGTTGAAGTTTTTAAAATATGACCTCTTATGAAAACTATAATATCAAATTACCATTGTAAATCTGTCCAAAAAAATAAACTAACCATTAATCTAACTCGTTTATCATCTTTCGTTTAATAACCTGTCACTTATCCATTTGTCTTTTGACGATACACGTTGTTTTCTTTTCTTTTTACGAATCAAGAAAATTGCAAACAATAGAAACATTCGCTTTGTTTAGCGTTAAACAAGAAGATCAACATAGGTGTTAAGCTTTTATTTTCTTTAATTCGATTCTTTACATTTTGAATGTTGATGTATGTATGTATGTGTGTACATATCATTTATATGGCTCGTTTGACTTCAATACAATGATAAGCATACAATTCGATATCGTCATAAATCGATATATGTACTTTTTCACATCAAGCAATGTCAAAAAAAATAGACAAAAAGACTTTATTATCAATGTCATAGTTGAGTGACTGCACATGTTTTCTATCATTTTAAAATAAAGTAAATGAAGAAACACATAAGATACACTTTTTTCTCGTTTGTTTGTTCACAATTTCGAAAATATGATTCTTCAAAATCAATAGATTGTTTCCGCCTTATAATTATCATTGACATGTCAATCTGCTAGTTGATATTTAATTAAAAACAAAACAAAAAAAGAAAAAGAAAAAGAAGTCTTTAGAGAAAAGCTCATCATAACATATACATGCAAACAAGCAATTGACACGACGCGTGTTCTCCAATATTGGAAATGTCAATTTAAGTTGAGCGTTGAATTCCATCTATCGTCCAACACTGCTTGATTAATAATAGCCTTTTTTTCTTTCTATTCATTATATACAAGAAAAACAAAATACTGGAGAAAATGTCAAATGATGATATTGCTTTTTATCTCTCTTCACTTATATATTGAACGGAACACAGAAACAGACCAGATATACGAAGAAGTTAGACATAAATGAATGATTTGTTGTTGTTACTAGTAAATTATAAATCAAAAGTGATGAATTCGCATGCCAGAAATCTCAATTTTAATTTTCTTTTTGTTCTCTTTGATCTCTTTTTTTGTGTAGGCATCTGTCTGTTTTCTATGCCTTTAATTTAAAAGATCCAAACTGTATATGTATATATTATTCTAACAAGAGCTTATAATCAACTTAAGTTGACCATACAATATATTCTGAAGAATTTTCATTTTGAACAAACAAAATAAATCGTTAAAATGAACTAAAAGTCATCAGAGAGACATGTATTCTTCAATATCTTTCATTGATTTAATGTGTACGTCCTTGAGCAATGATATTCTTTTATTGTATTTTCATTCCTCTGTATAATGATATTACTCGAATCATCGGCTTTTCCTTGTCTTCTCCTGTCAATCATATAAATCTTAAGTACTTTGACTTACGTAATATATATATATATGTATATTTCTATTCATTGACATAATAAGGAATCTATGAAAAAAAAAATAAAGTTATTCTCTCTTTATTCTATTATATGTATATATGTATATATTCATTTTGATGACATATTCGATGATTGAAGTATGAGGTGTGACCAAGTGACAATACGTCCATCAAATCTTCTACGGACAAATATGATGATGACGATGATGATATGATGTAACAAGTGTCTCTGTTCTTTAAGCGCCTCTTTCAATCAATAATAGACATTGACAATCGTCGTTTGTTTGGCATAATTATATATACAAAAAGCAAAATGGTCGATGCAGATGTGCAGGATCTATCAATTGATGAACCAGCAAATGCGTTTATAATAATTACCTAAGAATATTTCTTTGCTACATATGAAAAACGTTTGCGTATTCTGTTAATGAAATTTAGTCAGTATATATTCAGAAATATGAACAGATGGAATCCATTACAAGATCTGTTTGAATTAATAAGTT